TCAGTATGCATGTATGTACTCCAGATACCCACCACAAAGGATCCATGTGCTTGTCCCCTACTATTTATTGGAACCAGGCATTCTTGTCACAAGTCCTAGGATGTTCCAAAAATGTATATGCAGATGAGCCATGGTGCCACGTGGTCCAGCTCCACCCCATTATGTGTGGGGCCACACTGGTCACGTGATGGGCCAAAGGAAGGGTCAACAGAGCCTCTCATGTGCATAGACATTTGGTGATGTTTGCTGGACATTTAAGGCTGGTAAAAAAATAGAAGTCATTGGAAATGAGAAAAATAGGCACTGCTTAGTTGTGAGTGTGAAGAGGAAGTTGAACTGTAGTCAGTGTAGTAGTTCACTATGACTTGAAAAAGAGTTGGCACTGAGAGGGACAGAGCACAATGTTTTATTCAGATGGGCTGCACTAATCTAACTTTATGGTAGGTTCCCACTGTCGTATTTAATAAACATGGATCCTAGCCTTGGGCTAGGTGCTCTATGGACATGTTTAATATGGGCTGCATTCAACCAACTTTGTAGTTGGCTCCCATGACTGAGCATGTGCTGCCTCTGGCAACAGTTTAGTGATAGACAAAATATTTAATGGTCCAAGAAACCAGAAAAGTATTTCAAATTTCAAAGTACCCATATTTTGAATTATCCATATCCTAAAGCATACAGAAACCTATCCTTTCAGCTGGGGAACGAAAATAGCTTCAAAGTATTCCATCCTTTGAACTATTCAGTATGAAACTAACAAGGTTTTACTGTGTGTGTGTGTGTATACCCCCATATGTGTACATATGTATGAATTACCTTGGTGAGCTGCAGATGCAGAAGAATAAGGCTAATACTTTGCATGTAAACTTTTGTAGCACCAGTAAAACATTTGCATTTAACAATCCACTAGGTTCACTTCATAACCTGGTTATTTTAGTTTTTGGGACATAAAGGACAAGGCAACACATGTTTTAAAAAGAAAAAATAGTAGCTTTGGAATAACAAGTCAAACACTTATGATCATAAGACTGCTTTATAGATAAGTTTGTGCTAAGGCAAAGAAACAACGGGTCATTATGCAAATCCCAGAAAAATAAAAAATGAATAGACATCCAGTTCACTCTCCTGTGCATGTGAAATTCAGTCACGAGTAAAGCTTTCCAGACTGGCTCTTTATTCTCAGACAACATAATATGCCAGTCTGCTTTTCTTCAATAGTTTTACTTTGCAGTTCAGCCCTCATTGCCAGTTTACATTGTAATGTAGTTTAATGCAAAAGCTTCTTGAAGCAGAAAACATTTAGACCTGGCATCTCAGTCAGGGTTTTGGAAGCTAATGTTAATTTAATCCAGTGAATAAGTAGTATAGCTACACATACAGAATGCATTCTGCTTGTGCATGCTATAAAAGGGATTTTGTGATTGTTAAATTGCCACTGGGAATGCAGCTTGTGTTTTTATTATCTCTACCGTTACTTTGTCAGGTTTTGGGGCTGGTTTTTTGTTTTGTTTTTTGCTTAGTTTTTCCTGTCTCTTGATATTGCTACTCATTTCCTTACCTTTTGAGGGCTTGTAATTTTTTGTGAAGCAATAAACTAATTGCAGTGCTAATAGATGTGTCTAAAGGCAGCTGTTATGTCAAGGGTTTGCCAAAGCTGATTAGCTACATCCTTGCTGTCCCTGAAATGCTAACTGTTTTGGTCGATCTAGAAAAATTATATTCTTCAGTGTGAGGCCATTAGACCTGTAGAGTCATTTAAAGTCAATATAAATGTTAGTGTTTGTTTTGTTTTAAACAAAAAGTGGGGGGTTGCTTTTTATGTATATAGTGACATTACTAAATATATTTTAACCAATTTTTTCCAACCCCATTTCGATACCAGCCCTGAATTGTGATTTCTGAAGATGAAACAAATATTTGGTACTAACATAGTAGCATGCATTTAAGGTACTCAAAGAATTTTACTAGTCTTAATTAACTAAGTTAGGTAATCAGCAGGATAGTTATAGGGAGTCAGATAAGCTGGGATCTGTTCCTAGGTTTATCATCAACTTTCTGTGTAGCTTTGGATAAATCACTTGTAACATCTCTATGACTCTGAAGATACACCTTACCTGACACAATGCAGTGTCATGCAGAGATATCCAAGCTAATGTGCTTACAGACACTATGGGGATCAGAAGAAATATAGTCATGTTACTGGAAGCAAATTCATCTGCTGAGAAGCAAAGTATATTAGCCCAGGTGGATTGCCACACTAACATATCTATACAAATACCAGTAATCAAACTAGCATATACAGCTTGCTCAGTTCTCTCTCCATGGGGCTGATTAAGCCAAGGTCACACTTAAATTAATTAGCACTGTTTCCAGCAGATCAGATTCTGATTCCTAATCCAGTGTTCTATCATGTAGACTATGTTCCATCTTTCATTAATGCTGAAGTATAAATACACAATACTAATTATGATGCTGGTCTTTGACTAAGCATAGGACTTCAGCTTATCCAGGCAATTTGTAAACATTAGGCTTTCTATGAGTTTTTCCCTTTGAAACCAATATCATTATTATTCAAATTAATAAGAATGGCTTTTATTCCTTAGTTAACAATTCAATTATTAAGTAGCACTGAACATTTATGAATTACCATAAATGCGCATGATGTTCTGCAAAGTAGAGAATAAAATGTCTGTCCTGCCTGCATTTTATAATTGAATGGCAAGAAGTCACAACACCATCTAAGCTATATAAAGTATGGTTCATTAAAGAAGGGGCTCTAAGAATCCATAGGGAACAAGAATTTATGGAAGAGGGGGCATGTCTACATGAGATGTTTACTGTGGAGTTGCCTATTTGGCTCCACAGTAAACATCTTGGCATCTACTTCTTTACTGTACAGCAGCTGACATGACTTCAGTGCAGGGGCTGCGCTCTTTCATGCCCCAGTCAGCCCTTCCGCAGCACATTTTGCTGGGCAGGAGTAGCCCTGGGTTCACAGGTTAACTCCCAGGGCCCCCCACCAGCTAGGACTGCTCCAATCCAGCTCAGTGTGCAGGCACACATTTCAAATGGCATATGCAGGAGTAATAAACCCCAGTGCAATAAGTGCCAGAGTTTGTTGCTGTGCTTTAATTGCACATGTAGATGTGCCCAGAAAGACTTAAAACAATTAAAATGTTAGAAAAAGAAGTGGGAGACTATTCCAAATATAAATGACGGCACAAAAGAAGAGCAATTTGGTATGTCTGGAATCTATTGAAAATGGGCATTTGACTGATTAAGGATTAACTGATTATATTCTGTTGTGGTGAATGTTCTTTATGACTTCCAGATAACCTAGTGAGCCTTATGAATCCCTTTTTACTTGAATAGTAATTAGGAATCTGATGGTGCTAACTATTTGTGTGACAAAGACGTCTATTTTAGGTTAGTGAATAAAGCATGGGAAGGTGGCAGGAGTATGCTGGCAGCTGGGTATGCTGGCGGCTAGAGAAGGTGGTGGGGATGGTGCTCAGGGCATAGTAAAGAATAGTAAAGGCTTCTTTATGATTCATTCCATCCAGGAAGAGCACACACCAGCTGCAGAGGCTTCCTCAGCTTGATGAAGGGTTTTTATACCTGAAAGCTTGCTAAAAAATATTTTTTCCATCTATTTAAGTTGGTCTAATAAAAGATATTAGATTCACCCAAAGAACCTTATCTGCCTACTCCTGAAAGTACTCACATGAATTTCCGCATACTTATGCAAACACTGAAGACAGTACAGGATCAGATCATATATAGAAGGAACCTTCAAGCATCTGGCCCAGATTGTTAAACATATGAAGTGCTGTAACACCCCAGGTATAGGTGGCCTTCTGCCTAGTGGAATTGTTAGCCTCAAATTTGGTGCCAAGTTTTCCTAAAAGAAGCCCACTAGACACCAAAGCAGATGCCTAGGCACAAGTGAAACACAGAGAGAAAGGGCAGGGCTTTGGCCTGTAATCTAGTGTGTCTGGTGAGTACCTACTTCTTGTCAAGCAGGCACCTCTCTCTCCTAGGGCTTCTCCCATGAACCCAATCCTGGAGTTAGACATCTAAGCAAGGTCAGTTGCTGAGGTATCTATGCCTGGTTTCCTGTCCATGAAAACCAAAGAAAGGGAGAAGGCACCTCAAAATAGTGAATGGTCCAGTGGGCAGGGTACTAACATGAGGTATGGACCTGGAGACCTTTGTTCAGTATCCTGGGTCTGCCCAATTACAGCAGGGATTAGAACCCACATGTCCCACATCCTGTGCTGGTGCCCTGCTCACCAATGTGGAGTGCGACACATGATCCTTCTGTTATGTGCCCCCCCACCTATCAGTAACCAGCACCTGGCCTTTTTGCTATGGGGTCTGACAGGTGCTGGCCCTGCCTACAGGACTGTGTCCTGCAAATGAAGCTTTTTTCCCCACCTGTAGGCATTTCTCACCAACTCATTGGTTGTGAGACTGTGCCAATGCTGAGATGGCTTTGTTTATAGTAAATGGCAGAAGATTAGGTGTCCACATGATTTAAGTGGCAGCTAAACAGTGGTTGAACGTATAAGAGGTGCCTAAATGTTGAATGTAGGTGTGTAAGTGGCCTTGAAGAACTGGACCTCTCCACACTAACCAGGGAGTAAAACAATGAATCTGTAAAAGAAAAGGAACTGTAATCAAAGTGAAAATATGAATTTGTTCTTTTTCTTCTTTGTTTGAAAAAGAATGTTGCTCCGTTAGTGGGACACAAATATAGATAGGCAAAGAGCACGAATGACATTGTGTTAGTAAGATATATGCCCGTTCACAGGTATGGAGAGTACCTCAAAGGTGTTTGGAGGATATTAATCAAAGTGTTACATTAGAGAGAAAAGAGAAATTGGAAACCCTACTTCCTGACTAATTCAGAGACAACCTTTTGCTCAGTTGTTTTTGAAGCTTAGTAAATTGATATATGGCAAACCTTTATAATACACTGTTCTCTGCCTTCCATCCAGGTCACAGTCTCGGTTCAACAAAGGTGTCTCGTGCACAGACGTTTCCCAGCTACACCTCAGAGCAGAGCGAGGAGCACCAGCAGTCCCTGTCGCTGTCTAGCAGCTATGGATTCAGCTACAGCTCAGGCCTCATGCAGTGACATACAGAGAGCAGCTGATCAGAGAGACAGTCTAGCCTGGAACCTGCCAGTAGGGTCAGGAAGTCACTTGCGTCCTCAGCAAAAGACAAAATGTAGTGAAAACTGAGGCCTATCAGCTCCGCTTGGGTTACAATGAAGATTCAAAGCTGGAGTACAGCTTCCCGGAAGGAGAGGCTAAGTCTTTTATTTATTTTCTTCTATTTTCTTTCGTCCACATATAAAAAGAAATAGAACTCCAGTTGTAAGCAAGTAATTGAAACAAATGAAATCCTGTTGGTGCGAAGGTTTCTGCATGACAGGACATGCCCATCCTGGGGTTGGAACATGATGACACAATATGAGGTTCTTGCCATCCATCTCCATTGTCAAGTTTGCCTATCTCCACACTTGATGACAGTATCCACTTTTATACCCTGGTGGCCACTTACTGATTCCAGTCGGTACTGTAGACATGTTACCAGTTAAACAGCATATAGATACTGCATATGTTATCCTTAGAAATAAGCAAAGTTGTAATTCTAAAAAGGAATGAACACCTTTTTAATCAGGCTACCATGGCTAGACAGATACATATTGTGGGGTGGCAGGTTAACATTTTCTAATACATTGGAAAATAGAATTTGTTGCATTAAAAGTAAGATAGTTACCTAGTGCATATCTAACCATAAGTTTCTAGGGGCAAATTGTGTGCACACGACTATCATGAATACCACTGAAAACTGTGCACACACAAAGAGAAGGATCTGGCCCTGCAGAGTTGCCTGTTCTGAAAAATATTTAAATAGCAAAGTCTGCTGTTTGACAAGTTGAAAAGAGGAGAAGCTGTTCTTCAGACATACAAATCTGGGCCAAGTTCTTCAGCATCAATCTTATATTCTCATTACAGACCAGGATTCTCAATTGTGCTATAGCTGAGTTCCATCCTTGTCCTTCTGGTTAGAGTTACTTTGGTTTTCTCAATTTATTTCCCAGAGAGTTTTGAGATGCAAACTGCATTGTGTATGTGGTCATGGATCAATTATCCATTTCACTTGAAAAGACTTGGAGCAATTCTAAATTTGAACTTTCTTTCTTTGAGGTGCATTTAACAAAAAACAAACCACCCCCACCCCCAAAAAAACCCAAAACAATAAACCATGCAAATTGGAATTTGGAGTTTGGGATTAGTAAGGGAGACCTTTGAAAGCACCCCCTTAGGTGTGAGGAATGAGTTTTAGCTGTTCTGAAGAGTTCAATGTTCATAATGGTTATCAATTATATATGTACAGTATGTGATGCTTTGAAATTTTTAAAACTGGGGAGGGAAAGATCTGCTCACTGTATTTTGTGTGAGGAGACCTTTTGTTCCATTCCTGGTGTTGAACGGATTGCCATAATTACCCAAGGAATTTCCATCATTATTTGTTTGTTAGGATTGGTAGAGGACGTGTAACAAGGAGAACCATAGACTTTTCCAAGTACACAGTTTTCTCTCTTGTAATTTAACTTGAAAAGGGTCATTTTTTATAAAAAGGTACAAAAGAAATGTCTGCTTCTGATTAAACCCTTATTGATATGGTATGCTCAGCTTCTCTCCAAACACTTTACAGGCTATCAGATTGTATGTAGTCTTACATACCTCAGTGAACAGCTGCTGAATGAAAAAGGTTTGTGATCTGTTTGAATGAATCAGTGGCAGCCTGCAACAATTGAGTTTATTTTTGTCTTTCTTTTCCTTTATTTTGCTCTGTCTCCACCACTACCACCACATTTACAAAAAGAACAGCTCTCTCTATATAACATTTGGATAGGCTAACACCACAGTGAAAAATTACCACCCCACAGTCAACAAACTGCACCCATAGTGCACTCTGAGATGTGCCCATCAATACAAATTCATCTGCACTTCCCTTTTTTGAAAAGGCAATCATGCTGACATTTTGTTTCTGGGAGAATGTTTGCATTTGCAAAGAATACATGTAAAATTCAGTACAAAGGGTTGGATTTTCAGCATGCCAAATTTGTATCCTTTGAGGTTCTGGCTCAATATTTTTACTTCTCTAAAACTGCAAATGCTGCAACTTTCCCACAAAATATGTATATTATGCACTTTTTTCCTCTAAGTGTCTTGGTGTAATTTTTGTTTTATATTTTGTCACCTCAAATATCACATTCATATGGTTTGCTTAGTGATGCAAAAACTTCTCACTTAATATTTATGGTCCAAAGTATAAGAATATGGCAAGATAAAAAAACAAATACCAGGACATTGGAAGTTCTTTCTGGCCACATGCATATAATCCCAAATCCTGTCTCTGATGGTGGCCATTGCTTGTACTTAAGATGAGAAGATAAAACTCTACAATGCACTCTATTGCAGGGAGGTAGGATCTCTGCTTTCTAACCCAGCTGGTGGCCACCTCTTCTAGTAATGCATGAGAAAAGTCTGTGTACTTTTAGCCTACACATCTGCATCATTCTGGGCTTGTAAATACCTAGATGTTATTCATAATAAAAGGATTAGCCACCTACAGTAATTCCATTAATTTGCCTTCACAATGGTATACAGCAATAATTTTCAAACAAAGCATATATAAGTACTTGTAGCAATTTTTTGCAGCCACAGGTATGCAATTAATTCCATGATAAAGGATGGGAACTAGATTCCAAAATCTATTGAGAATCGTTTTGACAAAAACAAATATGTAAAGAAGTTAGAGACAGAAGCAGCGGCACTTACAGTACCCTCATTAGTCGGAAATTGGACCCCTGAGAACCAGAGGTATTTGGTGGCAGGTGAGTAAATGAAGTGAGTTCATTATTTGTGCCACTTCAGAACAACAGATGATAACCACTTTCAAGGGCTTTATATGATATCCTCAGAAATGATCCTCAAAAAATGTACTTCCTAGGAGAACTGGAACTGGCAGGTAATAGTTGAGGGTCTCACCAGAAACACTGCCTCGAAGGAATTGCTTTAACATATACCTGTTCTATAAGATGAGTGAATTCCCGCTGAGACACCTTTTGACAGCTCCTAGTGGTTTTGCCAGAAGGAAGACACCCTTTTGGCTTACTTACATGGTTGAGCTGCTGCCTAGAGACTACCAGGCTCCGTAAGGGACCTGGGGATCACACAGATCCCTGTTCAAGTCTCGGCTTCGTTCATGTGCAAGATGCACAGATAGCAAGTCCCCTCCTAAACCAAGAGAAAAAGCACTCTAATTTCAGCTACATGGCTGTAGAGAGCAGGAGGGCAACATGTCTTCAGTGGTACCCAGATATAACCAAGAAATGTAAAAGGTTACCAGTTTTAAAACTGTTGTTTTTATCTTGTTCTGGTAACATGAATACATTAACTGTAATTTTAAACTTTGAGGATACCTGGGTGTCTATTTGTCCCTGTAAACAAGTGGTGCACTGCATAGTTATGCCTTATTACCAGAACATCTCAAATACTTACATGCTAAATTGCCACATGCTGGTGTTTCTAAGCTATAGAATTCACTTACGGCAGGAAAGGAGAAGCAGGATGGAGACGAGTGTGATTTTAAGGTAGCAGAAGCTCCTTAGAGTACACAGTGCACTCCCTGTTTTGAAACAGCTACATTTTGGTCATTATGTGTCACTTTAAATGGACTTTGAGTGCATCCTGTCCTTACGACAGAGCTTTTTGCCCGTCCACTTTCAAAAAGATAAACATCTTACAATCTGAAACACAAAGTATTATTTGTAGAATAAGTCCTTTGAGCTCTGTCTTGGACTTCTCAATTCTGTTCCCAGTTCCACACCTGCACCCTATCCTAAGAGAATCTGGAGAGCAAGTGAAGAAAAGACAAACTTACCAAGAAAAAAAGATTTATAAATATGTTGGTAAAATAAGTGTAGGAATTAAATCTTGCCCACCTAGCCAGGGAAGCTGTTCTGTTTCATTCTAGCAAAGATCTAATAGAGTTTGTAGCAAAAGTTTGCAATTGATAGCATTAAAATAAGCAGGAATTGCATAGTAAATAAAAAGCACACTGATTTAATTGTTTTTCTTCAGTCCAGCCTGTTTTTACATCATGCAGGTTCTGGGACTCAACATCTGAAAAAAAGGAAGTTTTAAAGTGGTTTCTGCAGCAATAATTTATATACTTCAGCCTGCAAGCAGCCTGTCTGGTTACTCATTTGGTGAGCTGTAGGCAGCCTCTGAGAACCTCTGTCTTTAAATCATGGGTAGTACCCCACCAGCAGACATCCATCCTAGCTTGCAGCAAACACCTATGTATGCTGGCGAGAGTTGGAATTCAGGTTTATTCCTTTATCAGCCTTGACTTTATCAGCACTTCAACAGGTGTTACTTAGCACCAAAAATGCTAGTGATTTCTGAGACGTCTATGCAGTAAGAACTGACTGAGATCTCAGCACAGACTGTGGTTACCAGCATTCTGGGCTGGATTTTAACAAGTAACTAAAACCCGAAGGCTTGGTTTCCTGTGACAAGATCTCAGACTTTTGAAGCACTACACTTTCTAAGATGAAATCCAGCATTATTAATATGCAACTATTCCTTCTAGTGAAGAAACCTCTCTCTCTCTACTCATCTCCTCCTAGTTTTTACAGTTTTGAAGCTTTTAGTCATTTTATAGCTTCATGCATACAAAAATACCCTTTCTACAAAGTTGAGAAATGAAAATCAGGGCATAGGAAGCAGGAAACCCTTACTTGATCATGTGAAGGGTGAGCTCCCACAGAACTGAAATGACTTTTCTTTAACAGAGCAGTGGCACTTGTTTTCTTTTTTTTTCCCATAAGAATTTACTGGTCAACATACAAACACTAGGTTCCCATGACCCTTCCTGCCACCCCTCCCCTGTGCAAAATAAGCTTATATTTTGCTAGTAAAATGTAGCTGTATTGCACATTATTGCAGTGACACAGCTGTAGCATTTGAACTATGAGATTAAGTTTTGATGCAACATATAAGTTTCATGGATGCTGAACTCTTCACCTCCTGAAAACAATAGCTTATTCTTTTTTACTATATACAAGTATTTAACTTTTGATTGATTTTCTAAAAAAGTTGTATGATATTTGAACCACAAACACCTATCAGAATAAAATGAATGTTAAGAGTCACAAAGATACGAGAACCAGAGCTGATTATCTGACAGCCACTGAGGTAACATTAATTAGGTTGCCTCTGTAAGCCCAGCCACTCAAAAACAAAGTAGTCAAGGAAGAAAGGGGAACAATAAATAAGTCCACTTATTTAGGCATCTAAATATCAGGTTAGAAGTCTGGGTTTGATTTACTAGGGTGAAATCAAAGTTCTGTTGAAGTTAATGGGGTTTTTGCCATAAAATACACTATTCACTTTTCTTCTACAGTTTATTCCTATATTTGATAAACTAAGTTTGTCTTTCAGTTGTGCCTTACAGCCTACTTGAGCTTAAAAGTGAGGCATAACTGAGAAGAGATTTTGTCCTATTTCTTTCTTTTCTCATGGTTTGCTGAGTATGTAAAAGTGCTCCCGAGAAAGGAGTTAAGCCGTTTCTGAATTTCACATTTCACACTGAACAGTATTGAGAAAGGTTACATTTTCGCCATATTCTTTTTATCCTGGTGTGTGGGAAGTGTCAGGAGAACGACTGAATACATTAGCATCATTCTGTGCTTGTTACAATCATAGCATTGTCAAGAAAATGGATATATTTTTCAGTGTTTTTTTCCTGTAATCTTTTTTGTGATCAAAGTTATACCCCATTTTTAATGTACAATAAATTCTTGTTCTTGGCATATAGTTCATTGTCTTGTAACAAAGACTGTTATAGGCACAGAAAATAGCGCAAAATTAATCCAGTCTCTTGAGAATTTTACACCAATAATGAGAACAAAGATAGCACTTAGACATCTATTCTCATCACTGCTCTTTCATGAAGAAGAGAACATGGTACAAAATAACACTTTCTTTGTGTCAATATTAATACTGTAATCTTTTAAAGCTCTTCAGTTGACAGGAGGTGTTTCAGTTCTAGAGGTGCTTTTATAAAAGTTGTCTTGCATCTTCATACTATTCTAAGAAAAATAGGCAATGTAGAAAAATAGTATAATGGCATTATGCTAACCATTATACTACATATGTACTCATGCTTAACAATTTATTGGCACTGTATCTTGTATCAAAAAGAGCACAAGAGCAAACAGTAGCGTTCTCAGGAGAAAGCAGTGGGGTTCTCAGAGGCAACAGAAAGGCTAAGTATCACAGCTTAGGAGACATGAAACACACATATAGTACAGTGCCCTGCAACATACTTCATTATAATGTATAGCTTACACTATTGGGAGTGCATTACCAGGAGGTAAGAGCAGCACCTTATGTTCAACTCTGATCACAAGATAAAACTCAAATAGAAGCATTTATAGCATAGACAAGGTCAACTGAGTGTCCAAATTAGCCTTTTCAGAATACAACAGTAGCAATCCAGTTAAGGTTCATTGTTTAATCCACATGCAAATATATATCTATAGATATATCTATATATCTATATATATATCTCTATCTACACATATCTATAGATATATATATTTGCTGTATAAGTTATGGAATTCATTGCAGTAGTATATTACTGAAGCAAACATTTTGAAGCATTTCAGAAAGGATTAAACACAGAGATAAATAAAAATGGTGTCTTCGGTTATTATAGATAAAAATGCATACAATGTGTTCAGTCCTCATGTTTCAGGCCATGTCACTCATAAATGAATTCTAGTGAAAATATGCCTTCCACATTACAATTATGGCGTTTTATATCCTCCAGAGGATGCACTAGAACCCCTAAAAAGTCTATCTTCTAGCCAACCTTCTTTTAGTTATGAGAAAATGTGGTGGTGTTGACAGAATATATTTAAACAGAATTAAAATATATGCTAATCTACTTAAAATATGAGAAAAAAATGCTGCAAAATGTACATATGTTTGTAGGTTAGCATGCCTAATAACCTACTGATCCCTTAAATCATGATTATTTAATATTGTAAATTACTTAAAGTTTGCCAGAGAAATTGCTGTAACAGTCTAAATAAATAATATATATCAACAACATTTTTTTAAAATGCTCTAAAACACATTGAAACTGGCTATTTTGTCGTAAAAGGTGAAAATATGCTCTTTATTAAACATTGAAATGTATTGGGTGCTTCCATTATCTCTTTCACCCTTGCACTTTGTTGGCTGGTAAAATGGCTGTACTTAAAAATTTGCCAGTTGCCTTAGAAATACCAAGGTAAATGTATGAAGCTATCTAATATTCCAGCAATTTCTTATATTATGTATAGGGAAGTATAGGGCAATGCCATAGCAAAGATAGCAAAGTAATCTTTTTAACTAAAGGTGAACTGGTAGATTTTTGTAGGAACCGACCAACCAAAGCAGATACATCCAGTATGAATATTTGTAGTAGACACATTTTGCTAGCAGAATGTAATGTTATAATGGTGAATTTAATGGTAGAAGTCAGTTCAATTTTATGAGTCCTGGGGATAGTTGTGAAATTTTCAAAATATTCCATGTAATATTTTGGTTGAGATCTTCATCGATAGAAAATTATCATGTAGAGCTATTTGTTTCAAAATATATTGTATTGGTTTTCATTTTGCCCAAGGTCCAGGATTGAGGAGCTACCTGAGTTGTTTGAATTATAGCTGAGCTTTGATTAAGACATCAAGTCAGTCCCATTTTCAAAGTTATTTTGGTCCCTGGGCAGGAAATACTTTAGAACAATCCTCTCTAGGAGCAATGGGGAACGAATATAGCATACATAGACTCTGGCACCATTTAGATACCTAAACAGTAAACCCGGCCCTGTATATCTTATAAAATTACTCAGAAATTGGAGGGAGTCATCTGATGAACGTTGAAAGTCAGGGGGGAGGGGCAGGAACAGAATTAATGGGCAACATGAAATATGTAGAAACAGATTTCAGTCACAGCATTCAGCAAGGATGTTTGGGACCAGGTCCATGAAGGTAAATAGATGCCTAACTCAACCTCCCTTGAAGATCTGTGGCCAGATTCAAATCTGGTTTCAAATCTACACTTAGACATTAGGGCCGCATCCAGACAAGCATGGTCGTGCGGTATGTGGTGCCGCAGACATGTCTGTGGTGCCACATACTGCACATTCAGTTGTTCTTCACACTGCAAGGGAGCAGCAAGGAAGGTTTTTTTTGACCCCTGGATATCCAGTGGTCAAAAAAAAACTGTGGAGGAAAAAAGTGGGAGCAGAGCATGCACGGGCAGTGTGTACCCCTCAGCAGAGCTGGGCAACCCAGAGCCATGCTGGAGCTGCCGGCCAGGCTCCATATGGCAGAAACGCCACTGCTGCAGCCCTGGGAGGCCCCCAGGACCCCAAGTAAGGCTACTGCCCTGGGGTAAGTTGCTGCACACCAGAGGGTGCATGGCATAGGCATTCTCCAGGGACAACTAGCGGTGGAGCAAGGTTGCACCACTGCTAGTTGTCCCTGGGGAACCAGACATCCACACCACACCACACCACACCAAACATCCACACCATAACCACTAACTACAAAGGCATGCACCCTTTTTGTCTGGCCCTATGGCTTTTGCAGCCTTGCTCTCTGACTCCTAAAGTATAAGTACTGTAGCCACCTTAGTGCAGCAGTGTGCACATGCCAGTAAGCAATGCACTTTTCTCTACTGTAAGCTCCAAAAATTTGGGGTACCTAGAACCCAGGTGTCTCACCTCTTGTATATGCTCACTACTAGGTTATTGGGCAAAAGGTGGGCTCGTACTCATTTTAATACTATCAATGCAAGTGAGGCAGGTTCCAGCATGCCTAATGGAGCATGCCTTTCCTGAGGCCTAAGCAAAGTTTAGATGCCTCCCAGCATCAACAGGAATTACTACAGAGCTTCAGTAGCAGTTAGGCAAGTAAGTAAAAAAATCTGTGACCATATAAAAACTCAAGTGTAAACATGAAGGGTGCTTTGCAGTCTGAAGCAAAGGCATCTAAGAAATCTTATTTCACCTTTATGTTCCTCAGTTCTGCATACATGTATACATAGCTGCATAAGCACAGTTTTTTCACATTTACACAGATTTTGGAACCTATTTTGCTCCTGCATCTACTCAAAAGGTGCCATCATAACTGATCAGCCCTATAGGAGAAAAACTAGGTGCAAGTCTTCAACAGTGTGGCCAGAGAAGACTCACTGCTAGAAACAGGTGGCTTCCATCTTTCAGTTACTAGCTTAGTGATTAAAATGCTTGCCCATGGAGTGGGATACTCAGATTCCTGGCTTCCCTGCCCCCACCTTGTTTGGAGGGTATTTAAACCTGCATTTCTTACTGCCCAAACAATTGCTCTAATCGCTATACCATCAGATGGGCATATCTCAAGGTAGTCTACAGCACTCCTCTTGAAGGCCCACTAGACAGTCAAGAGTGGAAGATATGTGAGGCCTGGAAGTCAGTAGGCTATAAGAAATATAGCTTAGTATGGTAGACTCCACCCTCAAGGTAAGGCACCTTTAGCTCTGCCCTAACGTCACACTCCAATGGGGCAAAAAGTATGCTAGTGGTATCCATCCCTTTTATCCAGTGACAATTAATGCAAGAGGGATAAAAGTCAGTGAGATGGGAACATAGCCTAGAATCCAGGACCCCTTCCTTTGTAGGGCACTACTTAGCTCACAGAGCCATATAACGTCTGACTTATTTTCTTCATGGCCCTGTATTTCTTCCCTGGCTTTCTACTGAAGCAGTTTCATGTAGACAATTAGCTACTTCTCTGGTCAACACTTAGCCCATACCCTGCTGATTAACACTATTGTAAGAAGTGGGAAACACATTCAAATTCTCTCTGGACAAGGAAAATTAAGAAACTACTCTTCCTGGGCAAAGACTCTGACTCAGTGGTTTTCAAACTACCTAAAGTCACAAAATGCTTTCATATCATTTCTTCTGCCCCAGAACCCCTACCCCTAGTTTTGTGGGCTATGTGAGCTGATGTGGAGCTAGGTGACCAGGCCTAGCAATGGCAGCACACCCCCACCCAGCCTGCTATGCCATTATCCCCAAGTATTTGTGGTAGAACCCTGATGACCTACCATGCTACCCCAGGGCACTAAAGAACAGTTTGAAACCCACTGCGCTCACCCTTAAGTTGTCAGTCTGAAATGTGGGAGGCAGAATTTTGCACCTCTGACTGGCAAGAGTTTTAAGCAGTCCCAACTGGGTAGCAGGTTTGAGGGTTGGCCTTCAGTGACTAATGCAGGAGCAGAGGTGTAACAGGGCAGCTGTACATCTTGGGCAGTGGCAGCACCAGCTGCTAGCAGTGGCAGTGTGGTCAGTCACAGTTGTGGCTATTTTTTTCACCCCTTCTTCCCCAAAAGCATCACCTGTGGCTACTGTCCCCATTGCCACCCCCTCCAAGTAATGTTAATATGCAGGGCTTAGGAGGAAATTAGGTCTAAAGATCCTTCCTGAAGACACCTCAATCCACTGCCTCCCAACACCATTCCCTCATCCAACTCCTTCCACTGCTAGCAAACACAACCCCCCTCCCCTGAAGGGAGGCAGAGGTGAAGGCAAGTCGAAAGTAGCATGTTTGTAGGGGGGCCATCATAGAGGACATTCTGTTTTTCTGCTACTGTGTCCTCTATTGATACAAAACCCGACGCCTTTATGTCATCTATTTTTCTCTTGCAGGCAAAAATAGAGGACATAAAGGCATCGGGTTTCATATCACCAGAGGACAGAGTAGCAGAATCAATAGAAGACAGAGGACAGAATCAATAGAGGACAACTGGACTGTCCTCTATGATGGCCACTCTACATGTTTGTTATGATGAGGGCATTACAAGGACAGAAATCATCTTTGGGACATAGGCACAAAATTAAGTAAATACAGTACTAGGGAAAATAATGCAGTATTCCAGCTCTCCTTCATATTCCTCCTACACCCAAAGTATGATCTTGATCCTCTTTCTGGCTCATGAAGCCAAAAGATGGCTGCTTTCACAGATTGAAGTACCACAGTAGCCATTTTTTCCAAGTGTTTTGTATTAGAAAATGGAGAGCTTTTCTTTAATGTATTTTAAGTTTGAAAGTTTTGACAATGCCATAAAGCACAGGATTTCCCTTTAAACATGAATCAATGGTATAATTGTTTCTCTCTTTGCACACAGCATACACAAAAATAAATACTGGCAATGTGTTGGTATTAGCATCACTGAAAACAAGCCATCTTACCTTTTATTTAAAAGCTTTAAATCCATACAATGTCATTTTCTGTATTACACAGTGATTAAATATTTACTAAATAACCATATGAAAATGTGCTTTAATTCAGATAAATCCTCATCAGATGTATCTTAATTATACTGTTTCTGGGACTAGACTTGGGTGAAGAGGAAGCATTGTTTTTGTTATCCTTAAGTAATGCAAAATGGACTGTGGTAGACCCATACATTGGCTGCTGTCTTGTGCTTAATGTTACCAATAAAGTTTTGATTTGTAATTATTTGGACAAGCTTTAAAGGGGAAAAAAAACAAATAAACCCTCTATTTCAATCCTATTCACGAAAACCTTTACTGATGCTATTTTACTGTTAAAATCAGTCAAAGTCCCAAGAGCTACCTTAAAAGGAGCCCCCACAAAGACTAACTTTACATCATGCAAATTTTGAAATAGCATAGCATCCCCACCTCCACCCATATTCATAATGCAAGAGGTTTAGAAGGTCAATAACTTATATAAGCCACCCTTGCTTAGACATTTTCCCTACACTGGTTGTTACTAGAACTGATTTGTAGTTACTCCATACAGGGGGGCCTGTAAATTGTACTCTAAACTTATAAACTAACTTGTAATTGTGTGGTATCCATTGGCAAATGACTTAACTGACTTATGACAACTAATTTATTTCTCCTGGCCAGGTTTTTTTTTTTTCTAAAGTCACATTGTAACTTACTGAGTTTGGGCCATTAAAGACATTGACATATTTAATTTTGAGGGTTTTTTTTAATGCTTTCAACTGATGTTCAGCTGCTGTTCACTGATACTACCATTACCTAGAAAAATAAAAATGTTGCTTGGTCTGCTAACTGGAAAAAAATTAAATTATTGCCCTTAATGTGCTATGTGTAATGTGATCATTTTCCCTGTGAACCATCCTGGTAGAAGAAAAACATCTATGGAATGTGAATTAAAATAGATTAAATAAATGCAAAAGTGTGAAGTATAGATTTTTTTCCCCTTAAAGCTGGCAAACATGGAATTACATTTTGGGGAAAAAAAGAAATGAGCAGAAAATGTAAGGCCCCTCAATTCCATGTCAGCAAAACAAGGACACTTACCAGAAACCAACCAAAATAAACAAACTGATTCTACAGCTACTCAAACCAAAAAATTATTCTCAATAAAAGCAACTCCTCTTTATGCTATGTTGAATAATCTGGATATACTTGGAGGGGAATCTGTGCATGTGAGAAAGGGGGACACTACCAACTTTGTGGTTTATATATGATGTGATATTGGGAGCTCTGATTCGGACATTTACACACAAAGCAGTCATTATATTATCTTTTGGGCATTTAAATATAGGTGGGATCACCAGATCTCTGACAGAGGAAAGCCCCACTGCTACCGGGTTTTACTTGTAATACTGTGTACAATTAAGGATGATATGGTATGATATTTGATAACTCAGGAAATAAATCAAATTATTAGTAGTACATTTCTGTGTAGCCTCATCTACATGATGCAAATCCATAGGTCATGTGCAAACATTTAATCTTTCTTAACTCCTTCAGTAGGTGGAAAAAGTAAAGTACCCCTTGTAATGTGTATAGGTATTTGTCAAGGCATTCACAGAGCCAAAAAGTGATGTTTTCTAATGGTGTTTGACATTGTAAACAATGAAACTCTTCCATGATAGGTTAAAGGACTTTTTGTTTGGGTTTTTAGTCTTTAGCACTTCTCGATTTTAGCTGAAGTGTAAGATAACTGCACAATGCTGTGATCTACCCCATAGTCTGAAACACGTGCCCACATGATGACCAGAAGAATCTAGATCACTGTTTTCTTATTCACATGAAAACAGCCTTCTGTTGGAAGAGACCAAGTAGAAATTGCTTTTGCTGTCAGGTTGCTGCCAATGCTCTTTCCCAGCCAAACTAAGTGGCAATGATAATGAATCCTTAGGCAGAATAATGTTGCCTTTTCCCTCCTTTTCTAGGAATGTTGAAGTTCAATGCTATTTTCACTAATGTTTCAAGAGAAAGAAGGTACCATGCAAAACAGGAGTGATTCATTGGTCCTGGCATACAGTATATAGTATGTTATGGCATAATAGTATGCAGTTGTATGAGACTAATAGTCTTCATGATAACACCCTCAGTTATGTGGGTTCTGTCCTCCATGACAAAGTGATCATTCTACACATACACACAAACATTCCCTGAAAGCACTTGTGTAAAGGGCCAACAGGATATATAGACCTCCCCCACTTCTTAGGTCTGTCTTCTGGTTTTCTTAGTTTGGGGATTTTTCTTTCTATTTGTGCGTTTTCTTCTATAGGTTTCTGCAAAATATATATACATATATATACACACACACACACACACACACACACACACACACACACACACATCTATATATGTGTGTGTATATACATATATATCAGTTTGTGAATGTTCTTATCCATGCTTTTTCTGCTTTGCCTCATTTACTCATGTATTCTCCATGGTCTCATTTATTTTTTGTGCAACTAAATCGTACAATAAATTATTATTAACTATAACTTGCCTATGACAGAGTCTTGTGGTTTTATTTTTATCCTGAGAGTTAAGCAGTCTGCCCAGCCCATCTCAAAATCATGCAAGCCCAAGTGACTGTAACGACTGCTGGGAAAGTCTGCATGAGCTTGGGGCTGTATCAGATGGACAGTGCCTACTAACTCTCCTTAGGGTGCGGATGCATGACAAGATTTCTATGCAATAGTTTACCTGAATTTTACTCCACAGTAAAATTTACTTTGTAATAAGGAGCGAGTGGATGCACCACTTCTTCCAAACTAAGTGTACCATTACAATGTCTGGCCACTAGATGGCAGGGGAGTCAGTTTGAATTGAGCAAATGACTACCCCTAGATGTAATACACTAGAGAAGTGGACACACAAGTAGTAACTTCCCACAATAATGGTTATTACTTATTATTCAAGGACTAACTTTAATCTGGATTCAAATGGTATACTACTTACTAAAGCTCCATTTCTACTATATAGTAAGGCTAATTAGCTATTTAGCAAATATGTCATGTGCCAGCAACTTTAAGCAAGGAAGGAAAAGGCTATTATATTTTACTTGGGGAATTCAGTTTCATTTCACGTCCAAGGATATTGTCAATAGGCAACAAAAAAAGTTTCATACTGCCACCACTATAAAAAAAAAAAATCGATTGGGATAGCCATTGGTGAGGTTCAATACATTCAACTAGACTAAACATAACAGGTTTTCCTTCTGCTTCACTCTTTCACATCAAGCTTTCATGGAATTCAGACCTAGTGTGAACAGATTAAGTTATACTGATATCAGAATTGAATTTGGTGCTTAACCTATTTCTCCCACCAAAAATATTATTGCTTAAAATACTGACTAGGAAAGTTTAAATCATATAAACATAAATACTGTCCCACTCCAGATATGGACTGCATTGTATAGTAGATATACCAAACCTACCTTAAACAAGTTAACATAAGAACCCAAAGCAGTCTGGGCATTCCACCAGGATGACCAGTGCAGGTCATTTTCCCTGTTTCTTGTTTAAAGTTGTATTAGGTATCTCTAAATTGTACTGCAGAGTGCAGTGTAGACAGCCAGAGTTGGGCAGTTGATGGGAAACTAATGAATAGGTCAAGCTCGTATAAACAGATAATTCAAGAGAAGCCTATGATTGTGCAGTACTTTGATTAGTTAATTCAGACATAAGGCAGCAGCTCATATTCTTATCCTGGGTTAGCGTGAGAAGTTTCTGTAGTTGACATAAATGTCCTCTGTCTGCCTGGATGTGGAAGCTTCTTCTCTTTCTGAGTTTGGTGTGCTAACAAAATTGGATCTTCCGTAACTGTTCATGGGCTAGAAGAACACAAAGAAGTTAAAGGGTTTCAACAGTGAACTGCAAATGGCAGAGGTTCAGCAAAAGAGGACACTTATTTCACTCAAAGGAAACTCACAACGGAGCTAAACTGCAAGTGCGCCTGTTAGTTGTGAGCTCCGGCTGTTTTCAGTGCAACAAGAATAGGAATATCAGAAAAATATAGATAAGCTGCTTTGGTAACAGTGGCTTGAGGCAAAGATTAGCATGTAAATAGCACTGAGCACAGATCTCATTTACAGCAATAGAAGATAATGCAGTAGTGAAACTAAAATTAGAAAGAATAGAGACAAGAAGGGAAGTTGCAAGAATTTACCATGTTTAATAATCTTAACTTTTCAAATGGCCAGAGTTTTGTCAAAACATCTAGAACTTTGAGTTTTAATTATTTCTCTTCCCAGGGGAATTATTGGGTGCTAATTTATGCTTGGGGAAAAAGTAAAATGTATCACTTGAAACTTAAAGCCATTCCATTATTTTCCCAATTTACTTATTATATACTATGTTTAGTTTAAACCCCAACTTGTTCTCTTCTTTTTATCATGCATGGAAGTTGGCAGGATAATGAAGTGTAAATTGCAAAACCATAAAGGTTCCTTTCAGGAAAACACTTTTAAGTTTAGAGGTTTACCTGAGCTGTAGCCAGGCCTAATGTATTATCACACTGGGCTGGAACACTTACAATAGGAATTCTCTCAAGGTCACTGCACTTAGTAGATGCCAGGCAGAGTATATACCACTTATTTGTGCACCAGGAGTAGACTGCTACAGAAATAACACTCCCATAGTTTTTAGGCATCTAAGATACAAAGGGTACATCCAGACGGGGACACACATGCAGTTTGTGGCCCCTCAAACTTGTTTGAGGGGCCACAAACTACACGTGATGCACATGCAAGCATTCACCATGCTCCTAATTTGTAATGTGGTACCAAAATTTGACAGCGGGAAATCCCAGTGTTAAAAAAAAGCCAGGGGAAAAAAAAGCTGCAACAGCATGTGCCACAACCAGAGCCTGGCCATCCAGATCCACACTCTGGCTGCCACTCAGACTCCATGTGACTGAACTAGTGCTGCTGCTGCCCCAGGAGACCCCCAGAACCTCTTGTCTGGATGCACCCCAAATGTCCTCCTGTTGTGCTTTGCATAATGACCCAAATCACATGTGAATTGCTAACTACCTTACACAGCTATAGTTCTGTCCAACCTAACTAAATTTGCTCCTATTATGCATGCTCGGAAGCAACTTAGTGCTGGGCAAGATGCAGCTAAGTCCATTTACATTCCATTGTGATCCAACATTGCCATGGGTACACAGAGGAACACTGACCACCCACAGCACAGGGCAACAACCTGATCATAAGACAACAAACTAGGCTGGCCTGGAAGAACTTGCCTCCTGGGTGGATTTTCTCCCTTGGAAAATCTCTCCTGAAATTACCTCTCTCATGTAACACCTCTCATAACACATTCAGTTATACAAGAAGGTGGCATGGTTAAAGTCAAGACTGACGATCCAATTGTTCTCAGCTCATTCTGCATATAACAAGTCAGAGCCTCCACCCACTAGCGCTGATACAAGTCCTCTGAACTAAATCCTGCCACTTATTACAATAATGCATCTACATGCTGCCCATTGAAATGAAAAGATGTTCTTCATTGGAAGCACAATTGGTTGCTCATTCCTGCAGGGCAAAGTCAGATTCACCTGTGGGCCTACTCAAGTTGCGTGCTTGTACCCACTGAAAGTACGGGACATTTGTCTGGACAGGCAAAATAGGATGCCTGCCTAATTCTAGTCATTGATCTCAGGAACTAGCCAGCAGCCACACTACAGAAGTCTTGTGGGTGAAACAGGATTCTGCCCTCAGCACCCTGGTTTCTGAGGAAGTGCTTATGTAGACATTATGCTAAGGGAGGGTTCAGGTTGATGAATTCCATGTATGGAGGGGCACTTAAGTCTTAGAGACAGCTGAGATTTAAAACATGTCTATTTAAAACATAGTATTTCCCATTGGCATGCTCAGGTAGCTCCCTGCACAGCATGTTAGCTTTTGTGGATCATGTTCTTAAGTGACATGTTTTCATGCATTATACAGAGAGTTTAGGCAGAAAACTTAGAGCTACTGATTAGGTGGACTGGCACTCAAAATTTAGGTGTTTCAAAGCTTGGTGTCAAAACACTTAAGTTTCCTTTGTAGATTTGATTCTTAATTCGTAAGGGAACTTAGGTACCTAACTGCTAGCTCAGGTACCCAATTCCAACATTTAGGTATCACTTAGCTCCTACAACTCCCCATTCACCTACTGCCTAAACCTGTAAGTGCCTAAGATTCTACTGATAAAATCTTTTTAAAAGATAGTTAAAAGGCAGTTAGCTCCATTCTTTATTTATAATCTGGTAGACCATCCCCATGTATCTACGGTAGATGCCCAGATAAATGGCTTTTACTGATTGTCCTGATTCTGTAGGATTTCCCAGTTGTCTAAGCCTAGCTGCTCACATTACTTTGAAAATTAGTTCTCCCTTCCTCCCCTTTGCCCCATTTCAGCTATCAAGCTGGCAAGAGAATATCTCCCATCTAGACTAGGATCCAACCACCTCCCTTGTTACGCTGCTTCTCCTGAGACATGGAAATGACAGAAGGGAAGTGCAAGGCAAAAGAAAGGACCTGAACAAGAACAAGAAGCAATGAGAGGTGAAAGGAGAAACTGAAAAATGATCCAAATATACATGCCCTTCTCCACTGAAAATCACCTTCATTACCCCCTTTCTTGCTTGCTTGCTTGCCAGGCTTACCACTAGCAGTGTATGCAACACCAGATTTGACATGGCCCATTGCCTACTGCTGAAGCTGTAATTTAAAACCCTTTGACTAGGCAGGGATCTCTGGGTTTCATTTGTAAAAACTCTAGTTATCTTATAAATCATATCAGTGTTCCTAGGAATAACATAACAGGAATAACTGGTACTGCATTTCCTCATTTCCTGATGCCACTGAAAATAACAGTTAAATAGGGTCAGATTCTGACTTTGGAGCACATTTATATTGGTTGGCTGACTTTATTGGAATTAAAGTCTGGAACACACCAGGTGAGGATCTGACCAAAGTGGTAAATGGTGGAGGAAGGTAGGGAAATGAGTAAATATCAGTACTTGGCAAATGGAGCTCCTGAAGGCTAAATCTGTGAGACACGAGTTTTCAAAACATAAAACTTCTTCATAAATATAGGGCTATTATCACTTAATTCCAGGGTCAAGTTGTAGTAAAACTGCTACTTATACAGGGGTGATTCAGAAAGTAATGGCAATTTTGAAATAAAACTTGTGCGCCATGAGGAGGAAATGACAAAGCAGCAGTGAACACTATGGCAGCACTGTCAACTGCACTTATTATTTACAGCCATGAAGGCTAAGTACAGACGTTCAAAAAGCCCATGCCTGAATTCATTAAATCTTTGCAGGCTAGTCCAACCTGTGTCGATTGAACTGAGAAGCAAGGAAACAGACATTCACTTTTGATTCTGGAAATGCAGCCACAGTGGATCAGGCTAGAAGCTGGGGGGCACTAAAGCAAGCCCTCCCTTCCCTTTGGTAGTGGCTGGAAGGTTGAAGGGAAACTAAGCTGGGCAGGGAAGGAGGGCATGCCTTAGGCTCAGGTGGAGGGCAGGGAGGGGAATTAAACCCTCCTGCCTTCCCTCTCCTCTGCCATCTTTTCCTGGGATGCCAGCTGGCCATGCCCCCTGCCACTTGAGCAGCCAGTGGGGGAGTGGAAGTTGGCAGATGCCAGTGGAAGAGGGGAGGCAGGAGGAGCTAATCTCCCTCCCCTTTACCTGAGCCTACTGTCCCACGCCCCTGCCCCCTCCACTCCAGTGGGGAAAACTCTGGCAGGATCTGCTCCGTCCCCATCAGGTAGTCCGGACCATGTCCCCAGCCGGATTTCCAACCCTAACCCCCTTGTCAGCCAGAAGAGCTGTGTGAAGCTTTGGGTGCTGATTCTATTTGGAGGAGATTCAGCCCAATCCAGTGGCCGACTCTGTGAATCTGAATCAAATTCAGAGACTAATATAAAGGTCTGAATACATTCAAAGCTCTCTGAATCAATTCAGAAAAGATTCAAAGCGCTTTGGAGATTTGGGCAGTCCCCACTTGCTGCTTCAGGAAGCTGGACCCAGACTCCATGCCGGTAAGCAGGGGCAGGGGGTGGGGCTGGAGGAAGGGGGAGGGGACCATGGGGAGACCCTTGCCAGGTCCCATCCCCTGCCTGCTCCCCCGGCCCCCCTGACCATCACGCAACCTCCACCCACTCTCCCAGCCCCATCAATGGCTGCCCCACCCAGCCCCAGCTTCCTAGCTCTTTAAGATGAAAACAAAAAGCCCCACACTTACCAGCTGCTGCAGAGGCCTACAGGGCTTCTGGGGGCTTGTGACAGAGTCCACACACACAGCGTGGGGCAGTGAGGGGCAGTGGGGCAGCAGGGATCATCCCCCCAACTGGCAGGAGCCGGTGAGTGTGGGGCTTTTTTTTTTTTTTAAATAGAGCCAGGATGCTGGGGCCGGATGGGTGGGACAGCCATTGACAGACCTGGGACAGCAGGTGGGGGATGGGGCCTGTTTGATTAGGAGATACAGCCAATTTAGTGGCAGCCAAATCTCCGCATCAGATTTGGCCAAATCAATTTGAGACAGTGATTCAAATCACTGAATCGAATCACTGTCCCCTGAATCCGAAGTGAATACTAGCCACCTCACACAGGCCCATCAGCCAGCCCTCACTGCTCTGGCTAGAGAGCAGAGGGGCAGGGCCAATCCTGCTCTGCTCAAGCAGACAGCACAGCCCAGTCCAGGGTTGCCAAGCACATTGGGGTGCTGCGGGACTGTGATTTTACTTGAACCAGGAAGGAGTCTGGGACAGAATTTCCATAAACCTGTTTGACCTAAATCATTTAAATCTGATACTACATTCAACCAAGTTTATCTTAAACTAGTTTGGGCCATTTTGAAACTAGCTTGTGTGCACTAAACTTCTTTTCTGTTACAGGTTTAAACCAGTTTCTGATCATTTAAACCAGTTCATGTGTAACTTCTATCCCTAGCCATAAAGAAGTGATGTGGCCCAGTAAATGATCTTTGTACCCAAGATGATTTTATTTTGAAATCACCATTACATTCTGAAACAGCTTCCTAAAAAATATGGCTATTTCAAATCAATTTCAGGGAATATATGAAGTGAAAAATGAAAAAAACCCTGCATTTTCAATACATGTCATATTTCCAAAGTTGCTCCCATCTTAAAGCAATTGCTAGTTCCACAATAGTAATCTAAATCTGCCTGCAGAGGGCAAGAAAGCCACTACAGCTCACCTTCTAAGAAGTTGGGAGGCTTCCAAGTTGATTTCACTCAGCCCTGAACTGTCTCTGCTTTATCTTACTGCTTGTTTTTAACCTCTGCTTCTGGTCAATGCTCAGTATAAAGGGAAGCTCTGAAAACTTCTCAAGAAAATTAAGAGCATCTCAATTACAAGAAATGATTATGGTCAGGCTACTTGACTTACACATGGTAACATTTTCTCACCTTTTTTACATGTGGATGCTTAACAGAAACAATGATAAAAACTACCAGTGCTCCATGTATCACACCAGTTTACAAATAAAAAAAGCCTTAGCCCCCTCACACCTTGATTTTGCATATGCAGTAAAGAACACTTAAAGCAAAAAGAAAATTATGAAGAAATGCCACAAATACTAGAGTTTGGTTGATGTTTAACTTGGATATAGAAAGTAGGTGTAAAAGATACAGTACAAAGAAAAGAAAGCTATTGGGAAAATTCAATTAAAAGCAAGTAATTTTCTAATCAGTCTTACCCTGTTCTGAGTGGAGTAAAAAATCTTTGACATGGACATGATCCTTCTCCTCTTCTTTCTGGTGATACACATTCAACAGGTATATTATAGAGGAACTGCATGGTTTTGGTACAGTTACTACCATGTACATTGAAATAGCTTAACAGCCTGAACTTTCAGTACAACGGAAAAAGGTCAAATGTCTGGAACACACCTTGGTGACAGTGAATGCTTCCCAGATCTTGTAGCAAACAGAACACAAAAAAAGTGATGTGGCATCACATCCAGCCAACCTTTGACTCTCCAGTCCAAATGACCAAGAACCCATTTACAGCTGGAGTTACTAGAAGCAGACTTCAATAAGATCCTGGAGCAGGGCTCGTGTTCCCCCCTCTGGAGCTAAAGGAACCAATTTGTTACTGTGGCTCTTCTAGCACAATAGAGACATTAAATTAGCAGTACACAAATAATAATTATACAGACTTAAACAGCCATTAAACATAATGGTGGGCTGGCTTACTCTCCTAACAAACCAAAGGAAACAACAAATTACAACCTTTCCTGGTGCCTCTGAAATCCTGCCTTTATATGTCTGGCTTTTATATAAAATAAAAGTTACTTGGGGCCAAGACTGGCTTTGGCCCCTACAGGGCTCAGCATTGCTGGTGTACAGCACATAATAAGTCCATATATAAAATATCCTTTTTCACAGAAATGCAAAACTGTTTGCCAGGAAACAATGATAACCTCTTTCTAAAAATGATTTAAGCCATTGGGGAAAGTGGGGCAGAATTACTTTTTTTTTTTCCATTTGTCACTTTCACAAAAGCTATCATCAAATTCAAGCCCAGCTTCTTTCAGTCATTCTGGCCAGGGATACTGTAACTTTGGAGCAATACTCTAAACCAGTCTGAGCTTAGCCACCCACAGGGACTGACAAATTTAGAACTGAGTCCCTTATCATATCAGTCCAAAGCAGTGGCATGACTAGGATGCCAACTAGGAGGACAGGAGGAGTGGAAAAATTGGCTGCTATTGCAGCCAGTGCAGCCACAACTAGAAGCTACCATGTGCATAACAGCTGCCCCTGGTGGCTGACCACATTGCTATACTTCTGTTCCAAAATGTTCCAGTTGAGGTTTATATCACTAAGCATTTCGTAAAAGTAGAGCCTATTTTAAAATTTTAAAATGGAGTAACTGTTACATTTTCCCCCGCTGTTTTCAACCAGATGAAGAACTGAGCAGAATTTTCAAAGCTTGGAATTTTGAAAAAAAAGATGGAATTTTTTCAAACCCACTTTTAGGGGGGTTTTTTTAGTCAACTCTACAGTGGATGTTAAAGCATTAGCAGTTGTGACAACAGGAAAATAGCCAATATGGGTCTGTGACACTTTGGAGCTACCTGCTATAATGAGGACTTGGATCTGTTACTCTACTTACTTTCTGTGGTAAACAACGGTGCTGATGATGATGATCAGGAGAACTACCAGTAGTAGGAATGCAGCAGCAGCTCCTCCGGCAATGAAAAAAATATCCAGAGGATGAGCCAGACCTTCTAGAAGATGATGATATAATGTTAACATTTTGGAGACACAGTAAGAATACACCCCATCACATCACATCACATTAAAATTCTACTCAAGAGCTATCTACATCTAAACAAAAGTAATTTGGGCAAAAAAGGAAAAGAGAGTGGACTGCCCTTCCTTCTGTTCACACCTTCACAGGCATGTATTTTCTATTTACATGGTAGCTCTTGGAAGAAATTAGGTAATACTAGGTAACAAAGCACAATACAGAGATACAAAATAAACATGACATACTTTATTTTCTTCCCTAAGAAACCACAGTATAACATATGCTAATGTCCTGATGTAGAGATAATAAAAATACTGGCCCATTAAGCTGTTACAGATTCAGATATGCAATAGCCCCCTTTACAATGGTTATCCTAAACCAGTTGAAGAACAACCACTCAAGCAGCCCATGGACAACAAGACTCAGATAACTCTATTATTTAAGAAGTCCGTGTCTTCTCTTCAGAGTCCTAAAAGGGTTACCATAGTCACAAACAGACTTGCCAAGAGATGTTATATAATCATGTCAGTTTTTTCTTATACTAAAAATAGTCAGACCTGTTTGTGCTTGTAAAGGCACTCTCACAAAAATGAATTTAATTCTGTATATCCCAGTGTTGCATATTATTGCATTCCAGGGTTCAGCAGCCTCCAACATGCATGCCAGAGCATGGGTATTTTGCTTGGTTCGCACACCTTGAGGTGGACAGTGGGGAAAGGGCTGGGGTTTCACTGCCACAACAAGGATCGGCCCCCTCATGGCTACCCTAGATCAGGGGTGGGCAATTATTTTGGGCAGAGGGCAGAGAGCCACTTACTGAGTTTTGGCAAGCTATCGAGGGCCACATGACTGGCAGCCAGGGCAGATAAATATTAATTTTCTAAATTTTGTAGGGGCCCCGCAGGCCGGATAGAATGGTCTGGCAGGCCGCATCCGGCCCCCGGGCTGCATTTTGCCTACTCCTGACCTAGATGTACACATGTACCTACTGCCAGCAACAAGCTGGGCTGGGGCTCTGCAGACCCTGATGCAGCTGCTTGCAGCCTCCCTGCCACCTGCCACAAGCAGCTGGGGATCTATGGCAGATGGCAAGGGCCTGCCCAGAGCCTGGGCCAGCTGTGGTAGACAGCCAGGAACCTGAAAGCAGCTGCACCAGGGTCTGCAGAGCCCTGGCCAGGCTTGTTGCTGGTGGCAGGTGCATTGGCACCTGTGGCAGATAGTAGGGGAGTTGCCAGGGGCCCAATCCTTGTTGTGGCAGCACAGCCTTAGGCCCTTCCCCATTGCCTGTCCTGAGGCATGTGTGCACCTGGCACTGGCAATTAGTTGGGCCAGGGCTCTGCAGAACTTAGTGCAGCCACTTGCACCCTTCTCAGCTGCCTACCACAGCTGACCCAGGTTCTGGGCAGCCCCTGCCACTTGCCATGGAGCCCAGACTGCTTACACTAGGCAACAGGGAGGTGCAAGAAGCTGCACCAGGGTCTTCAGAGCCCCAGCCAGGTTCACTGCCAGCAGCAAGTGCATGCCTGTCTCTGGGCAGATGGAGAAAAAGGAGTCCGGGCTGTGCTGCCACAATAAGGATCAGGCCCCTTGCAGCTCCCCCACCATCTGCGCCTGGCATGCCAACATCTTCCAAGTAAAGGTTGTTACGGGTTTTGGCTCTCTGCCCCAAAATGTTGTCAACCCCCGTTCTAGTCTTTAACAAAAAAAAAAGTTCCAATAACTGTAACCAAGGAAGAAGGAGCTATATTTACGCTTGGCTGCACACTGCTTGACGTGTTTACATTTTGTTCCAGAAAAAGAAATGTGAACTCCTTGAACTGTAGTCAAAGTCCGAGAAAGCATCCCTGACAAAGATGACTTAAAAACCAGATTTGTGCTATCCCAAGTGTGGGACTCCCCTGTTTGTTGATCTATCTGCATAGCTATATTCATCTGAGTATCTCAAATATAAAGATGTGCTCGCAACACCGCTGTCACATGGGAAGTGGGCTCTTATTTTGCCAACAAAAAAGCAAACTACTTGAATTAGGGAAGCAACTTGCCTGAGGTCACCTACTCTGTGGTGGAGCCAAGATTTGAATTCAGTTTTGATGAAGGGACACACACCCTTTGGTGAGGGTATGGAAACTGAATAGCGTGTGGGCTGAATTGTTATTTTGAGTAGATTTTTATCAAATCTAAATACTAAGATTAATAAGAGCAGAAAAAAGTGTACATTAAACCACAAACATTTTAGTCAGCCTTTGTGCAACCCAGCATAGGCACTGCTTCCTGTTCCTCAGAGCAGCAGCAGCAGCATGCATACCCAGCTGCACTAGCAGCAAATACTAACCCTAGCCAGCTATTCCCACCACCTTGAAGCAGATCTTAAATTTCACACTGTGCTCATGACTCACCAAGCCCCACAGCCCACCAAGTCTTGGGAGTCATTCTCTCTAGCTATTTACATAAAAAAATGTTCCTTACACATTCTTCCTCTGCTTTTCCCTCACATTATGCAAGTGGTAGGACACAGCCTAAAGCAGCAATACTTAAAATAAAATTGCTGTCTTCAGTATTGCTGTTGCTGTTTTCAATATTGATAGGAAGCAAAAAGGGTAAGTAACAAGGAGAAGCAAGGTCTGTGGTGAGAAAAGCCAGCTGTAAACAGTTAAAAATGGGAAATTATCTCCAGCTCTATGATACAGGCAACCCCCCATTTAATGCTGTTTCACTTAGCACTATTTTGCTATACCGCTCATTTGAAATTGATACCTGATTTTACTTAGTGCTCAGCTAGTCTCATTATAATGCTCACGGTCGCCATCTTAGGTCATTAAAAACAATTGTGGTCACCATCTTGGATCGTCAAATACTTTTGATTTTGCTTAACACTCGTTTCACTGAATGCTTGGTTTTTCAGGAACCAATTAAGAGCGTTAAGTGGGGCTTGCCTATATATAAAATTCAGTGTATTGGTGGTTCTCAAACATTGGTTCAAGAACTCTGGCTGGTCAGAATGAGCTTCTTGTTCCCATCTGGTTATTAAGCTGCATTCAAATACAGCTAGCTGCTTTTCTAACATTATTTTTCAATGCTGGCAATTATCTTGCCAGAGACATTATATAACTTAAAATAGGACGGAAGAAACCCATGAGAACACACATTTATAAAGATCCAGTCCATGCTATTAAAGAGTTTTAAAATCCTTGCTAGACATCATTTTGTTGTTACTATCTATAATTTTTATCACAGAGCCTAGAGGATAAAGAGCAGGGCTGTGTAAATTCCCTTTGAGGATCAGGCCGGAGAGATTGGAGACAGGTGGTGTTCTGTTCTAGTCTTCAATAGATTTTCAGTGTGCACCCATTCTGGTGCGCAGTTGTTGCTTGGTGGCTCCACATATTGTCCATCAGGGCACTTGGTGCCCTGATGGAGATATGTATTATATTGTGAAGATATCTCTGTACTGGAGATACTGTTGGCAGGTTTTGCATGTCTTGTCATGGCATGGCCTGGATCCATTCAGTGTGTTTTGGGCTGTAGGAAGTTGGCTTCTGGGGATGAGGTTAACGAGGTTTGTGAGGCTTGTTTGAATTTACAAACCACTTTTCACAGACAAGCCTATGAACTGCACTTCATCAGCCTCCTAGGTACAGAAACTCATGGACTCAATACAGATATTGGAATTATGACACACTACAACCTGCTGGACATCTGACTCCACCTCTCCACTTCTCTGCACTGCTACATCCCTCTTCTCCTCTCTCCCTCCCCCCAGCCTGTCCCTCGCCCCCCGACACCTCCATTTCCATTTTCACTGACTGGCTTTCTTACCTGAATTGCATGCCAGCCTCTGGCGTCTTTACTTTTCCTTCTATCCAGGAACAGCACACACACTAACTGCAGGTGCTTCTGCAGCCTGATAAAGGGTTTTTCAACCCAAAAGATTGCTAAGATATATTTCTCTAACTATTCAGTTGGTCTACTCAAAAATACCAGATTAGATTGACCCAAAGAACCTTGTCTGCCAGTGCCATGTCCTTAGACCAACACCCCTAGCACCTGGCCCCAGTCAGCTGACTGGAAGGATGCAGGGCCCTGGGCACATCTAAACCCCAGGGCTCTGGCTGGTAGGGAGAGTACTCTGGCAGCTGCTGGAGAAGAAGCTCCTGCAGGAAAAGAAAGAAAGGCTCTGTGATAGTTTGGCTGCCTGAAATGCTGCTGGTGCTACTGTGCTGCTTACTAAGTTATTACCTGTTGTTATTTAAAGTGGTAGACTGAGCTGAGGGCTGTAGGGGAGGGGCATACTACTGTGTTGTATAAAGGCCCCAGTGCCAGTGAGGGCACGCCTTAATACACACACAGTCTCACGTCACGAGTTTTGCTTGTCAACAGCTTGAGGTGCAGTTTCCTAGAAACCCCTGCATCTATGTCCTTGAAACCTGGCAGGCTTTATGGCCTCAGCTACCATGCCTGCAGTTTTCACCCTGCTGCACCTCAACACACACACACGTGACATGAGTTTTGCTTGTCAGCAGATTGAGGTGTAGCTTCCCAGAAACCCCTGCACTTATCTCCTTGAAACATGGCAATCTTTGTGGCCTCAGCAGGGGCTACCATCCCTGCTGTTTTCAACCCCCACCCCCTGCCCCATGCCTTCACACTTACAAGTGACATGAGTTTTGCTTTCAAGAATTTGAGGTGCAGTTTCCCTGAAACCACTGCACCTATCTCCTTGAAACTTGGTAAGCTCCATGCCCTCAGAAGGTGCTACCATCTCTGCTGTTTTCATCTAAATCTGCCAAAAAATTTCAAAGTTATGGGCAGTTTTGTGTTTCCCCATTATAGCCTATGGGCAAAACCTCGAAACAGCAAAACAGTTTCAACTAAATGAAACGGAACAGTGGCTCAAAACTAAATGAAACTCAAAATGAAACACTGTCCCATCAAAATGGTGAAATGGAAGTTGAAATGAAATAATGCTGTTTCTCACAGCCCTACTAAAGAGAGGCTGTTTTGCACAGCCGTATAAACTGAGGCACCACTGTGCTGGGCACTGTAGAGACACAAAACCAGTGGTGTAGGGTATTCATGGAGTTCCCAGGGCAGGAGGGGGGACCATTCTGCTTACCCCGCTTGTTCCTCACCCCTAGATATGCTGTAGTTCAGGGTTGCTCTGCCCAGCTCCTGTGGCCAGGCGGAGGCAGTGCAGAGTTTTCCCTGCCATTGGAAAGGTTCTGGTTGGCGGGGGGGGCGAGCTGAAGAAGGGAGGATGGGAGCACCATTCTTCTAGATCCATTCACTGTCTCTGCCTACCAGATACACTGATTAATTCAGCACTGCCTTGTCTGGCTCATATGGCCAGAGAATCTCCTGCCATGGGCCACAGCAAAAAATCCTGGCATGGGGGGGATCCTTCATAGTTGGCAGCCAGGGTGGATGCCCCTATCAACCTGTCCTAATTACACTCCTGCACACAGGGCATGTCTGCTTACCTCGTGGTAGGGAACATCATTATGAAAGTGTGCCCCACACGCTCTTGCCTACTCTACATCACTGTATGGTGAAATGATGTCACTCAGTTACTTTCTGAACATTACCATGAGTTAACCAGAGACTAAGGGTGAGCCCTGGCCATCAACCATAAAGCAAACACATGTCAGTTTTTCAGTCACTTCAAAGAGTATAACAGTAGTTTTCAAACTTAATTTGTGGACCCCCAAAAATTCTGAATGGAGGTACAGACTCCTTTGAATTGTAAATACAAGTATTTGCATACTATTGATTGATCATAGTCATCCTTTGCAGACCCCTTAGACATAATCTCTGGACCCCCAGGGGTCCATAGACCACAGGTTGAAAACCACTGGAATATAAGCAATGGAGCAGGTGGGCTTCATTAGGACAGAACTTCCTAGCACTGTTGTAGATGAGGTAGACACACCCAAAGTGACAATCCCTGCTTTAAGGAACTTAGAATCATTGAAAAATTTGGATCGGAAGGGACCTCAAGAGGTCATCTAGCACAACTCCCTGCTCAAAGCAAGACCACCCCCAACTAATCATCCTAGCCAAGTCTTTGTCTAGCCAGGTCTTAACAACTTCCGAGGATGGAGATCCTACCACCTCCCTGGGTAACTTGTTCCAGTGCTTCACCACTCTCCTGGTGAGAAAGTTCTTCCTAATATCTAACCTAAACTTCCCTTGCTGCATCTTGAGACCATTGCTCCTTGTTCTTTCATCTGCAACCACTGAGAACAGTCTAGCTCTATTCTCTTTGGAAACACCTGGCAGGTAGTTCAAGGTTGCAGTCAAATCCCCTCAATCTTCTTTTCTTCAGACTAAATAAGCCCAGTTCCCTCAGCCTCTCCTCATAAGTCATGTGCCCCAGCCACCTAATCATTTTCATTCCCCTAAACTTATAGTATAAATAGACAAAAAGCAGACTGGGAGGTATGACTGGGAGGTATTAGAAAGAGAATGGCGTAGAGGGCTGGGGGGACAAAGAAAACTACTACTAGTAATAATAATAATAATATAAGTCTATTTTCGCATGGATTAGCTAAATGCATGATTCATTGGAATAATAAGCTAATCAGTATCAGTAATGACAGTAATCACAACTTGCCACCTGCTCAGCCATTACCAGATGGCTGTGTTATCTCGACATCAGGGCAGAGGTGAATCCTAAGGAGGAATATGAAGGAAGCTAAAGTAGCATTTTACTTACTTCCCTGAACAGCAGTTGAAATTGTTTTCTCTAACTTCTCTTCAACACTAACGTTCATAAGGGAACATTCAAAACTCATGGTCATGCGGCACAGACTGATTATATAAGAATTCCCAGACTGAATTTCAATATTATTTTACTGAAAATTTTAAAAACCCTCAAAAGTTTGTATGGTTAAAGGGAGGTGGGATGGTGCAGAGTGCTGGGAGGTTTTAGGAAACATTTGTATTGTAAGAACATACACAAGGCTCATGGCTTTGTGAATTGAATGTGATTTTATTTGTCATACTAATAAGAAAGCTACCACAGCCTGGTTTTTAAAAAAATGTATCTGATGCATCTACTGTGTCTGATACATTGTAAGGGTTTTTTTTTTAAGTATATAATGGGTAGTTGCAGAAACAAAAGCAACCAAAAACAAAAAATTCCCTGTAAACTACAAGTAGAAACATGTAAATGTTTTAGCTGCTTTGCTAAAACTGATCATTTGAATACTATTAGAGTGTTGCAATTGAATTGGGTACAGGTAAAAAACAGAGTAGGGTCAAAATGTCTAAGCTGAGTCCATCTATCAAGGTGGATTCAAATACAAAATGGACTCTGAAACGCTCAAACCCATGGGAACTTCAGCTCCAGTGTTATCAGCCAGGATCACCTCTGACCAACATGAATTTGGATGCTGGAATTACCAGCTGTCCAGTCAAATTTGGATTAAAAAAAGCTGAAGATTTAGCTATAGAAACAGCAATGCCTCACAGCCCTTTTGACTTTCCTCATTTGAAGTGAATGATGCCCTCCTGCTGTTTTTGTTTGCTTAAATATACCAAGCCCTACTGTAACAACTAACCTTAACATTTAAGATTTCA